ATGTGAAGGTCCGAAACCCTTTTTCTGTTTTAGATCAGTACAAATCTAGGAATTTTCCTAGTAAAAGAGAAAAGGGGGACTTCTACGGTCAATGACCGAGACGCTCTCCTCGAATAAGAAAAAAAAGGAGAATGTTAAAATATCAATAAGAGAAATCATCTCTATTTGTTTAACGATTATTCTATAGACGTTAGTATCAACAAGAAGGGAATAAGAGATATTTCTTATCACCTCTTGGTTGCACGTAACACGTGGTTACGGCAATAAATCGCCTTGTACATAGTCAAACTCGACGTTTGATATAAACAATAACTAAATAGTTGACCAGGTTAAAGAAATTATTGTCAAATGATTGTTAATTTATGGATGAGAGCCATCAAACCTATAGAAATTTATATCATAAAATCATGTCATCTTGACACCAATATCAATAAATTGAACAAATTTCTCTGTGTCTGTTGTCCGAACTAGCTAGATCCAAATATCAACACACTAGCAGGTGTGCGGATAAATCATTAATAACATCATAGTTCTCACCCCCTCGAAATCAGTATAAAGAGGGCTCCCGGCCAGTATCGGGGTGGCCTCCAACTTAGAAGGAAATAACGGATTGACGATCCTCGTCGCTGACTGCCAAAGACGGACAACACGGTTAGATTCTACAAGCTACAACTTAGTAAGTAGAATTCTCTCCCTTCTCTCGGGTGGACTAGGGCTAATTCCTAAATAGATATCAAGAAGGATCAAAGAATATCCTCTATCGTAAATATGCGAGATGTATGCNAAATATAGGAGCACCTCGGTACTCAACTTGAACAATCACCACCCACTAGAACAAATTTCTGATTAATAACAAATATTTTAATTTTAACTAATTTTTTCATTCATCCATAAAAACATTCTCAAAGATAAAAAGAGTATCAAGTTTAAAAATAAAATAAACCTTACAGCTGCCTACTTTCATCAGACAAAATTACACTCATTTTAGTTTGTTTTCTTCATAAGTGAAAAAAAAAACAAACTGCATGCAGAATACAATTATCAGCATGTTTTACAACCATTTTAAGTGGATGAAGTGTTTCAACAATACATGTCTGTGACACACTTAAGATTTGTTGCAAATTCACAAGTTGTTGTTTTTCAATCTTTAACAATTTCTTTTTGCAGTTTCACTTTAGCAGCTTATGGGGCCTGTACATTTTGCATCCTTTAGTTCAAAATTTTTCAAGCGAAACTTTCAAAACCATGTTTGACACATTTGGATTTAGAAGCATCTTCCCCATACACAGTACAAGTATTTTTTATTATTTGTATAGCATGATATCCTTTACAAAACTTAAAAAGCATGCATAATATGCTAATGTGCATTTTATCTGCAGACATTTTGACTTCATTTTATTCAAATGAAATGTGATGTAAAAAAGTTTAAAATAAGCTTCAAAACAAAGAATACAATCTCATATCAGGAATAATGTGTTAAATTTCACAACTTATAATTACATCACATATTTATGTTAAGTAAAAACAGCTGTTAATAAAACTTTCTGTTCAAATCCCAATAGAAATTATTGTAACACAGTTGTCATATTTTGCTATTCTGTATTGTGTGAAGGTCCGAAACCCTTTTTCTGTTTTAGATCAGTATAAATCTAGGAATTTTCCTAGTAAAAGAGAAAAGGGGGACTTCTGCGATCAATGACCGAGACGCTCTCCTCGAATAAGAAAAAAAAGGAGAATGTTAAAATATCAATAAGAGAAATCATCTCTATTTGTTTAACGATTATTCTATAGACGTTAGTATCAACAAGAAGGGAATAAGAGATATTTCTTATCACCTCTTGGTTGCACGTAACACGTGGTTACGGCAATAAATCGCCTTGTACATAGTCAAACTCGACGTTTGATATAAACAATAACTAAATAGTTGACCAGGTTAAAGAAATTATTGTCAAATGATTGTTAATTTATGGATGAGAGCCATCAAACCTACAGAAATTTATATCATAAAATCATGTCATCTTGACACCAATATCAATAAATTGAACAAATTTCTCTATGTCAATTGTCCGAACTAGCTAGATCCAAATATCAACACACTAGCAGGTGTGCGGATAAATCATTAATAACGTCATAGTTCTCACCCCCTCGAAATCAGTATAAAGAGGGCTCCCGGCCAGTATCGGGGTGGCCTCCAACTTAGAAGGAAATAACGGATTGACGATCCTCATCGCTGACCGCCAAAGACGGACAACACGGTTAGATTCTACAAGCTACAACTTAGTAAGTAGAATTCTCTCCCTTCTCTCGGGTGGACTAGGGCTAATTCCTAAATAGATATTAAGAAGGATCAAAGAATATCCTCTATCGTAAATATGCGAGATGTATGCCGGAAAACCGCCTATTGTAACCTCGGTTAGAGATTAGCATTATTATTAATTATTGTAACCCTTTCAAATATACCATTAGTTAATTAAATATATATATATGTTATCTTAAATATGTGTGTTTACTCGTACTCGGTCAACACCTTGTCGACTTATCCGCAACCTCCCACTTGATTTTTGCCCTCCTAAATTGCCATCCACTGACCCTGTGAGCGGGACTCACCTTCCCGTTGTCGGAAAACGGTTTAAGCTTTGATGCTAAAACCCCGATTCTCACAATTGTGTATGTGTATTTTTCGACATTTTTATGATTTATACATTCTAAGTTTGTAAAGTTCTTGTTAAATTTGTGTTAAATCAGATAAAGATACCAATTTTTTTGTTATAAGGCAGATTTTCCTTTTCGTTTCTGCATTAGACAAATTCCATTATATAAAGATTAATTTACATTAAGTTTTGCAAAAAATTTAAGATACTGAAGAAATTTTTTGTTAATGACAGGTTTTTGCTATATACAGGTTCCATTATAAGACAGGTTTGACTGTAGTTAGAAATTAAATTTAACTAATATTTAATTATTAATATTTTTTACAATATGTTGTCTTTCTCTATTTTTAGGTCAAATTATATTTATAATTTAATTAAAACCCAAAATTTTTTCTGACATTGATTCTGACATTATATGTATTATATTAATATAATTTTATGTTTAAAAATCTATTCTTTATTTTTTAAATTGAATCTATATTTCAAATATAAGTAGAACAAGTAAAATGGCAAAACTGTATTTGGGACAAGACTATGTCTTGGAGATGGAATCACTTCGATGCTCAAGGCAGGTCTCATTCTCATTCTCCTATCTTCTTTGATATCACTGCTTTTCAGTGCGATTGTTCAAACTTCACCGGCCACAACCACGAGATCGTCCACGATGCATCTTCAATGAAATTAACCTATCTAATTTCAAAATTTCTCTCCATTGCGATTTTTGTTGATGCGTAACGAAAAGTTCCCATTTTTGAAAAAAATAATTGTGGCTGTTGTATCATCCGAAATTATTTTTTTATTTTGCACAAACAATATACAGTTTAACTATATTGTTAAACTGTATATTGTTTGTGCAATCGAATGTAACAACAATCCTAATATAACGTCAAATTTTTATCGGTCCTACGATTTCACTATACTACATAATGTTAAAAAAAACCACCTGTAACGACATAAAACCGTTTTAACATCATATTTGAAGCACAAATTTACAAAATTAGATTACAAATTTTATTTAACATAGAAGAAACTACATGTTCAGTCCTAAGGTCAGAGTTTACTTCTTAAAATGACTGTGGGTGGTACTCTCCCCTACCTGACTTCAGTGGGGTGAGGTGGCTGTTTTGCCTGTTTGTAGAAGAGGGTTGCCATTTTGTATTTTATTTTGACTCAACTCTCGGTCCCCTGACTACCTATGAGTCTGGATTTTTTTTGTGTGCAAATGATTTGGGCACCTAATACTCGGTGCCAAATATCAACTCTCGACATGTACTCCTTCATACCTCTATGCTGGTAAGAACATCGGGCAGTACGATTTTATAAATAAGACATAGTCTTGTCAAAAATAATCAAATATTATCTAAATTACCAGATTTTTATTGAATTTTGTTTAAAAACANATTTGCTATTTTCATTTATTAAAATAAAAATATTTGTAATTAACCAAAAATTTGTGATTACTGTATTTAATCAAGTGCCAAGATACCACTGTATTTGATTAACATGGTTTTGATATATACAGTAGCATCGAGGGATTAATTATCTCTGTTAATCAAGGGATGCCTGTATCTATGTTACATGAACATGTAAAACAAGAAAAAGCATCAATATCATATATTATCAGCAAACTCAAAATCAAAATATGAAGCTTTTTTATTTTAAAATCAAAATATGAAGCCTTTCACACAAATAAGCTTTTAAGAATTTTTTTAAAATGTTTTAATAAAACAGCAATAATAAAGCTTTGAAATATATGAAATTTAATGAAATTGGTGTGGAGAATATTAATTTGATTTAAAATGTATTGTTTTCATTGAAATTTAAGGTTTCATAATATTTTAAAATCATATCTTTAACAGGGTCAAAGACAAACATTACTGTTTTCTGCAACAATGCCAAAGAAAATTCAAAATTTTGCTAGAAGTGCATTAGTGAAGCCAATTACTGTAAATGTTGGGCGTGCAGGTGCTGCAAGTATGGATGTGATACAAGAAGTAGAATATGTCAAACAAGAAGCTAAGATTGTGCATTTATTGGATACTCTTCAAAAGACAGCACCACCAGTAAGTATTTAAATAATTTTAAACTCTAAAAATGTGTATATTAATAGAACAAAAAAAAAAAGACTTCATTTATTGGAACAAATAATAGAAAATAACCTTGTGATATCTCTTTAATATGAATCAAAGTAACAACAACAACAACAACTTAGTTGTAAAATAACTATCTCAAGATTATAATTGGGCTATAATATGATTATATCAAACCAAAACTAATAAATGTTTTTGATGTCAATTTTTGATATTCATCTAGAATGTTAACCAATAATCTAGAATGTTAGATATCTAAACCAATGAAATAATGAATTTTATCAACAATGTTGAATATTGGTATATGTTGTCAATGATATTATCAGTTCTACTTCTTTCAACTCAGTAATTTCTCCAGCTGTCAAATATTGCACTAGAGTATTAAAAATTCTGGAGGGGGGTTGTTGCAGTTTTTACAATTAGTCTGTGCTGATAACCATATATCAAATTGATACTGATAAATTATGATATCAGTATTTTAGATTTTAGAATATCAATATTGATGTAATAAACGTTTATTAGTTTCGGTTTGATAAAGTTGTCATTGGCACAACATTAATTTGAGAACTATACAACAACCTCCTTCAGAATTTTTAAGACTAGTGCAATTTTCTGACAGCTGGGGAAATTATTAAGTTGACAGAAGTAGAATTGACAATATTGTTGATGACAAATACTGTAAGGAACCAAGTCTGAACTTCCTTGACACTCTTGTCTGTCCGCTACAACTGCCAAGAATTAATGCGATTGGATTATGTAAGTGACTATATATATTTATAAGTAAATTATGATAGTAATTGAAAATTATATGGTACATTTGTAGTCAAATGAGTTAAATTAGAACAATGTCATTGCTATTCTTTCTTACAATCATTGTAATATTCTTACAATGGACACATGTACGAAATTAAATCTTTATAACTTATCATGGTGAGAAGAATTGAAGATTTAATTTTGTTCATTGGCAAAAATCTAATTATTTTGATAAAGACACGAATGAGCCCATTAGTTCACTTGCTTTTTGTTTTAAACCAAAAAACAAGTAAATGATTTGTAATAACTGCTCCAATTATGTGTCCATTATATGATTATGGTGTAGAATGTATCTGTTTCACTCATTTTTTTGGTGAGAGGCACTATTTTAATAATTTTTTACAATGAATTATATTTGTTTGTAAATAATTACTTCAGATATTGCTAATAAACCACTAACATAAATATTTTATGATTTTTAATTGCTCATAACTCCTATATAAATGGACCTTTGCCAATGAAATTTTGCATTTAGAGAGAGCAATATCTTTTCTTTAGAAATAAAATGCAATCAGTATATTAGGACCTACACTGTGTCATGATTTTGATTTTTAGATTGCTTAACAAGGACAATTATTTATAACATTTCACGTTTTAATCCACAATCTATACACTTGAATAGATTTTGAAAAATCAATGCTACTAGATGCCATTTTTTTCTCAAATGTAAACAAACTCTTTGCGAATTTTGTTAGAATTTTGTTTGAAACATCATCGATATCAAGCATTTGCACTGAGTGGAATTAGTACTTTATAACCCACTCGTTAATAATTTGTTTAACTCGTTCATCTTTATGAACATATCCATAATAAGTTTGTTTTCTTTTAAATTTTTACAGTAAATCATAATTATTTTTAATGTATGTAATATTTAATGTGTAATATAAGTTATAATATATGGATAAAGTGTAGATCAAAATTTCTTAAACATTGGTGATCTGTGGTGATCCATGAGTTTTTAAAGATTCACAAACAATCTCCAAAACATTTAAATTCTATATATAAATGTTTTAATATTGTTATTTCAGTAAAAAATATTTACATAAATTTATTCAAATTCTTTTAATTTTCAATAAGAAATCTTTTCATTTTCAGAATTACAGGTAACCCATGCTTAATATGGGAATTGATTAATGTGTGAAATTAATTGTGGCAATCCCTTTATATACATGGCAGAAGTTTTAATTAATGCAGCTTTAACAACTGTCTTTATATAACATAGATATGTTTTTCTTTGCAATTAAGATATTAGTGAATTTGCTATTTTCATTTATTAAAATAAAAATATTTGTAATTAACCAAAAATTTGTGATTACTGTATTTAATCAAGTGCCAAGATACCACTGTATTTGATTAACATGGTTTTGATATATACAGTAGCATCGAGGGATTAATTATCTCTGTTAATCAAGGGATGCCTGTATCTATGTTACATGAACACGTAAAACAAGAAAAAGCATCAATATCATATATTATCAGCAAACTCAAAATCAAAATATGAAGCTTTTTTATTTTAAAATCAAAATATGAAGCCTTTCACACAAATAAGCTTTTAAGAATTTTTTTAAAATGTTTTAATAAAACAGCAATAATAAAGCTTTGAAATATATGAAATTGGTATCACTAACTGTTGCTTTAAAACTTAAAAGTATTTTCTAAAATAATAGTTTTTGTAAGTGACTATTTAATTTTTATTAGATTTCTTCAATAGTTCTTTTCACTGAAATAATCATTTTTTTATCTGGTCATTAATTAACATGATGATTCTGAAAATGAAGTTTCTGAATAAAAAAATTTTCTTGACTTCTGACTATTAGATGGAAATTTTGTTTATTCTACTTAAGAATTGCAATTAAAAACTTTTTGGCTTAAACTTTGATAATGGGGGGAAAAAGATGGGTATTTGTGGGTCAAAATAAATATAGAGAATTCAAAAAAAAATTTTTTTAAGCCTTCTTACATTATTTAAATTTGAAAAACACTGTTTAATTTACATAATATAAGATGTGAAGAATTGTGTAAGATATATTAATATAGTATTTATTGAAAAAATAGCAAATATTTGAAAAATACATTGTTTTTATTTACAGGAAATGAAATTTCCTAAAGGAATTTTAAATGCTTTAAAAAAGAAAGGAATATCGAAGCCAACTCCAATTCAGATGCAAGGTCTTCCTGCTGTGTAAGGATTATATAAAGATTTTTTGCTTACATGAGATATGTTGAGAAGTCAACACTTTTAAAATAACACATGCTATGAATACAAAAAAATAAATATTACCTATAATATATTTTCATCAATTTCATTAATACACACTTTTTCTGGTGGATTTTTCATGATAGTAGCCCTACAAATATTTTTTTGGAAATTCAAAAAGATCATACTATCCTAATTTATTATAAATGAAACTTCTCAACATTTTAATATTTTTCATTATTTTTATGTAAATATAATTTTAATTTTGAATATGTATAAAATTAGACTTAAATTATATTTAAAAGCTAATTTTAGATTGAGAAAATAACTATTTAATATTAGTTTATCAGGTAGAGACATGATAGGAATTGCCTTTACTGGATCTGGAAAAACACTTGTATTTGTTTTACCTATTATAATGTTTTGTCTTGAACAAGAAATCAAACTTCCATTTCTTAAAAATGAAGGACCTTATGGTTTGGTCATCTGTCCTTCAGTAAGTATATACATATATATATTTTTTAAGTATATGATTTTAAAATATGATATTATTTTAGGTTTAGCATCTGTAATTAATACAAATGAATTTCATAAAATCCATTTTAAAATTTTGGTTTTTTTACAATCAAAAGAATTTATTGTTTTAAATCATTTGAGTTAGTGTAAAATATAAATGCTTAATCTAAATAACAAGAATAAAATTATTTAAAATATAGTGCCTGCCAGAAACACCTATTGGCTTTTAAAATAAAATAATACTTTAAGGGGAAGCATAAATATTTATTGCTTTGCACAGATACATTTTTTTTTTTATGGAGAACAAATGTGTATTACTGTTATATCTTGAAAATAACATTTTGTAAGTGGCCACCATTCTTATGAACACACATTCTTGTAATCTGTTTGGAAAGGATGTCATAACTTACTGCATTATTGGTCTACATTTTTTTGAAAATGAGGACCATAATGTCACAGTAACTGGCTGGGTGCTACATAGTCGTGTTGCAAATAGTCCTGGATTAGGAGGTCACTCCTCATAACCAGTGTCACCTATGGTTCCAGTGAGACAGAGCAACTACTCATATGGCATATTGTTCCACGGGAATTCTGCAAGAAATGTTTCCAGGTAAATTCATTTCTTGCTTTCAGAACACTGGGCTGCTCACTTTCAAAACCTGCTGCACTGGATTTTATTTTTGTGGGCTACTTGAAATATAAAGTTTGAGACACATCCAGTCAGTATGAATAAACTGAAAGATCAAATTAGTCAATGCATTTGGGAGATTCCACATCTTTTAAAATTAATAAATGTACTGTACTATAAGAAAGTAATTGTTTTCTTTTAATTATTTATTTTAAGACTTATTATATTTTATTATCTATAACTAGAGATTTCATTCTCAATCACATCAGTTTTATATTTGAAACTATTGTTGTTTGAAAGTTAGGTGGCACATTCTCTATCATTCTGTAATAATGTAAGCAAATGCCATTTTACTACTGTATAATATTTTTAACAGAAATTTGATCAAAGTGAATCTGAAGTTGCCGGTTAAAAACAAGTAAACTACTTTATAATTCATTTAAGTTTTGTTTTTGAAAAACAACTTTTAGGAATTATTTTATAGGTAAATATACAATCTGACAAAATAAAGAAAAATGTTGCAAATGTAATTTTTTTAGCATAGAAGAATGACTGAAATATTTAATTCAAAAGTATTAATACTTAACATACTCTTTACACACTAGAAATTCTCTTGTCAAGCATGATGGAATACTTTTTATGAGAAAATAGAGATTGAAGAGTTGAGAAGTGTAGAGATTTCAAGAAGAGTTGCTAATATTTCTACAAATTAAGGCTGTTGACAGTCATTCTTACTTGATGTTGCTCAAGTTGGACTTCACAGCCTTCAGGGGTGTCAGTTATTCTTCTTCTTTTAGATTTAGAATTTAGTTGGCATTTCTCCTAGGCATTTTTTTTCTTTTTACAAAATAGCAAGGTTTTTTAATTTCACATTATGATGAATTGCATGTATGTTAGATGAGCACTAACACTTTCTAAATAAAGGGCTCATTAAATCATTACTTCTGGTTGGATAATAGAATGTTACATGTATGTCAGTATGGAAAGATTTATTATAGAAGTGACACAATGTGGCTATCTTTTTTAAAGTTTAAATTTTAAATTTAATGAAGCAAGTTTAAAATATGCCATTTGCCAAAACATTTAAAAATGCAACTTAAGGGAAATTCCCTCGTCAAGCCTGAACTAAATGAGGTCACTGACATCACTGCAATGTAAGTGCGATCACCAATTTGAAATTGATAAAATGTTTATTCTATAGCTAATATTTCTGCAAAATAAATAGCTTGTACTTTCAGACAGAACATAAAATGAATACAAGCAAAATTGCAGGAGTTATAAGGAATTCACATACACACACAGGCAATGGCTTTTATATTTTATATTTAGCATTACATTCTAATTTAACTGAATTTTATGTGAGAATATTTGATATCTTGAGAAGTTTCAGAGTTAAAGAAAACTTTGCTTAATTTTTGTTTTTAATATCTTATTAACCATTTTATAATACATTTACATAACCATTGATTAAATTATTTTATTATTACAGCGTGAATTAGCCAAGCAAACTGATGAAATAATACGATATTATACTCAGTGTCTAGCAAATGATGGAATGCCCACTTTAAGATGTTGTTTATGCATTGGTGGAACTTCTGTTCGAGACCAATTGGATGTTGTCCGGAGGTAAAATGAATTTATAACTTTTCAAAAGATTGAATTATTATTAATTCTAAAAGTAATTCAACTTTTAAAAAGCTTTTTATATAAATTAAAACAAGTTAATTATTCAGTAATAATTTAAAGATTTATTTAAAGATTGCTATAATCTTCTTATGTAATGTACTGTACAGTATAAATGAAAGCAATACAGGGTGTTTATAAATGAATGGTGCAGTTTTAAAAATTAATAATAAATGTATTTATTACCTTAATCTTGGGCAAAGACCGAGTTTACGTATCGTCAATGCCCGTGTCCCTTGAGGAACTGTGTGATCAGATAAAGCATGCACTGCAGACCATCACGGAGGACATGCTACACCAAGTATGGGAAGAATTTGATTACCGTATAGATATGTGTCGTGTGACCATGGGTGCACATATTGAAGGATTGTGATTAATGCATAAAAAACTTGGACAGTTGCTGCTGCTTATGCTGTAAGGTTTGCCCATATAAGGTAATAAATAGATTTATTATTCATTTTTAAAACCGCACCATTCATTTATAAACACCCTGTATATTAGTATTGTTAATTACTAGTATATTAGCAGTATACTAGTAATTAAATAGTATCCGATATTTCATTTTTCTATATATTAATAACATTTAAATTTAAAGTAATTTGTGTACTATTATATTTCATCATGATTTAGAAGTTTTATACTGTATCATGAGTTTTATACTGTATACATGATTTATACTGTATCAAAATAGTTTATTATGTTATAATAAAACAATATTTTGATACAGTATAGCACAGTACAATAAACAATTTTGATACAGGATAAATAATTTCAAGAGTTATTATTTTTTTAATTTTTAACTATAATTTGCTCAAATTGGAATTTTGTCAATACAAATTTTATTGATCTGTACACAAAACATGTCATACACAATGCAACAACATGAATTAATAAAAGCAGTGTTTAAAGTAAAATATTAAAAAAATTATTTTTAACAGGAAAATTGTACAGAAACAACTATGGTAAAAACTTTAGTGATATATTTATTTCATGGAGCTATTTAGTTTAATTACTAAAATCAATAACAATATAGTCTTACCAATAGGGCTGTCATAATTTTTATGTCAAAACTTGTAATTATTATTTGAGAAGTTTTTATTGTCTATATTTGATTATTCAGTTATGAAATTTAGGAAGGATTGTCTTATAAATTATCATTGTGTTTCTTTTTCAATAAGACAAATTCAATAAGCCCTATTGTTATTAATAGTACTGTCAATAAGCATTTTATATGTAACTAGCAGATGAGCCCAGCGTTGCTTGGGCAAAAAATAACAATGGCAAAGATTAAGATTATCAGATTATTTTGTACTTCTAACCATTCTACTATAATATATTATAGTATTTGATTTACAAAGGTTATCTTATGTAAGAGTTTGTCACACTGAGTACCCAATCTAACATTTAAAAAATTTTTTAAATTGTGTATTCCTCTTTATTTCTCTACTGTACACAACAGTAGAGGAATAAAGACTTTTTAAAACGTATTAGATTGATCATTCAGTGTGATAAACTCTTATGTAAGATAACCTTTATAGTTATATAGCCAATTTTACCTGCTTTTATTGGGTGCAAGAATTAGGACTGCTTGCTGGGAGATTTAAGGTTTATTGAGTTTTTATGTAATAATTAGTGATGTAACGAATATTCGGTTACTATTCGGCCGAATACCGAATATTTAATCACTATTCGGCCGAATACCGAATACCTAAAAGCAGGATTAATAAATTAGTGATGCCACGAATATTCGGCTACTATTCGGTATTTGGCCTATTCGGCTACTTTTTTTAATATTCGGTATTCGGCTGAATGTTGCATACTATTCGGCCGAATACCGAATACCAAATCATGGAAAAAAAACGCACATATTACTCAAAAATGTATTTATTTTAATCACAAATTATTACATTTAATACTTAAAATCTATCAGTGGTAAGTTGTGATGAATGAAAACAATTTTTTCAGCATTTGTTGATAGCAAACGATTGCGCTTTTCCTCATAAACTATAGCTGCTTCTGAAAATAGCCTCATCTCATAATCCACCATCTCATAATATCATAATCTCATAATATTTCCAAATAGGTGATTTTTTATTAAATGGTGCCATTTTGTAAAGCTTTTGGCGAACAAACAGTGATAGTTTTTAGAAATAAAAACTATTAGTAACACAATTTGATGTAACAATGAGCAAATAATGCGTGTCGTGACACGATCTACTCGCAAATGAAACAAACCCTTTCTCACAATTTCTCTCTCTCTAAGCGGGACAGTCTCACCCCACATTCTTAGGGATACGATTACATCACCCACCTGACATATGTCACAGAGCTGTTGACTGTTCATCAACACTTGATAACATCCACACACCTGACACATGTTACAATTGAACTTAACAACATATTTTGCCGAACATTCGGCCGCCGAATATTCGGTGCTTCGGTCGAGAGCGTAGCCGAGTATTCGGTATTCGGCAAAATCACTATTCGTGGCATCACTATATAAAATAACAAAAACACAGTAAATTAATCATTTTGTTATTTAGAGTTAATGTTATAGAGTTAGTGTTGTTTGTTTATATTTATTTATAACTTGTAACATGCACAAAATAAAAAAGAAAATAATATTAGTCACTTGTGTTCACAATTTATAATTACAAAGATCAGCACACGTACACGTCTATTGTTGGAGAATCCTCGCACATCTGAGGGTCTGACCCTGCCTATCCTTCTTTTTAAGCGCTCGTCTTTGTTCTTCCCTTTCTCTTTCCTCTATCGCTCTAATCCATGTAAGCCTGTGCATATATCATAATACGCGCTCATGATACTTTCGATTCGTCACTTTTCCGTCGTAGAGTTCCCATTTTACAATTACGTGACAGACTGGTGATAACGGAGAAAAGAGACAGATAGGACGTCGATATAAGTCACAGTTATGATTTCACAGATTCGAGACAGCTTGATAGCCCGAACGGCCCCAGGCTTTCGCCCGTGCACGCTAAGTGACTTTCATTACAAGCATTTAGCTTTCCGAAGTCTATGACAACAATTGTTTGGCATTGACGGCCGCGAATTTCGCGCCAATAAGCTACTTCGACTCGTTCGATTATGTTATCGACTCAATTTCATATTTATTTTCACATTTTCACTTCACGGTCCTTTTCTCTTCTTTTTCTGTTATTTACACGTGTAGGTCATTTCATTGTTATCCACATTTGATATCATCATTTATCACATACTTCCATGACACTCTTGTCTGTCCGCTACAACTGCCAAGAATTAACGCGATTGGCGAAGCGTAGTGACAGCGGGCCAATAGAGAGCAGGATCCTTGCCATAATGCAGTTTGCGCACCAATTTTTGTAGGTGCGTTAATCGAGCCGAATAGTTTGGCCGAATATTCGGCTATTCGGCCATGCTCCTGGCCGAATATACTATTCGTTACAACACTAGTAATAATATTTTTTATAGTAAATTGTGTTTTATGTCATTTAGAAAATCTTTTTGTGTATTCATGGGGAAAACCCAAATGTACAATTGGAGTTTTAAGTTATTTTCTCTCTAAAACATGTAAGTAAGTAACATTGTAAAAATCTTTATGAAAAATAATAATGATGTCATGTTTTTAATCATGCCATTTGTTCTTTAATAGCAGCTTTGAAGTCACAACAGCTCAAAATGCATATATAGACTATAATCTGTGTTAAAATTGGTATAATAGTCTTGAGTCATCCAACTGGAGTTGCTGTGGGAAAATCAACCAACCATTAAGGATTAAATTGATTTTATACATATCAAATCATTTAGTCATTATTAAGAAAAAAAAACAAAGTAGAACAAATATCTTCAATAATTTTAAATATTCAACATACATCAANACAGTTATTAATTTCATCTTAAATTTTGTTTTTTATTACTAAATTTAACACAAGATAGCAACATGACTTTTGGCCAAATTACTTTGCCTAACAATTAGCCATACTAAGCCTGAATGTAATCTGACAATTGTTATTTAATTTAATGAATTATTCAGGCAGTTTGAATAAAAATGAATTCTTAATTTAGTGTGTTTTGGTTTTAAAGTTAAAATATTTGTTTCATGTATTGCAACATTAAAGCTCATCATGCCATCAGCATCTAACTAAAAGTGTAACATTTTAATGAAGTAAATTTGGCTAATTTGACTTAAGGGGACTCTGTTTCAGTTTGCATATTGTTGCTGGGCTGTAGCCTCTAAGGAAAGGTCGTCTCCATATATAAATTTGTTCTGAATTGCTGAGGACACAAAAGACAGAAGGAAAGCAAAGAAGTTTGCGAAATTTTTGTATTTTAAAAATGTAACATTTTAATTATGATTTAAATGGAATTTTTACTTATAGGAAAAAAAAAAAAANGAAACAATTTAAAATTAAATAGGATGATTAATTTTAAAATAATTCATTTATTTTTAGGTTTTAATATTTGCAGAGAAGAAACAAGATGTTGATGCTATTCATGAATATCTTCTTTTGAAAGGAGTAGAAGCTGTTGCTATACATGGAGGAAAAGGTTTTTATGTTTTAGTTAATAAACAGTATATCAAAAATTACTGAACTGTATTTATATAACTGACTAATTTTTATTAACAAGCTGATTTGCTATGGAAAAGTACTATTGGATTTTCTTTTTGTTTGACCCAGTTATTAACTATGTTTAACTGCATATGCATTTTGAATATCAATTTTTAATAATTTTTAAGTAATGCTATATTCTGTAATACATAGATTTATAAATATATACTTTATAGTTTAAATTTTAATTTTAATACATTTCTTTCATCAGTGATTAAGTTTTCGGAATATATTATAACTTTCCAGATTTTAAACAATACATAATCCTACTGAAAATGTAATTTAGATCATAATCTTTAGTAATTTCATAAATCTTTGGGCGCGTTCGTAAAGTCGAACGAGTTAAACGAGAATGACGTCATCGTTATTCTTATTTCGTTAGACTTTTCGAATGATTCGTTTAGAACTAAATGGCTGTTTCTAAAATCGAAGATACAAATGTTGCTAGTACAGCCTTATCCGAAATATTTTTCTTAGATTGCTTCAGGTGGATAGTTATTTCAATCATTTCATCTTTTAATTCACAATTTAAACACTCGAGTAGATTTAGAAACATCAATATCGTCGGGCGCCATTTTCTTAACGAAGTAAACTAACACTTTCCTTCGTGAACTTCGTTAGAGTTTCGTTCGAAACGTCATCATCGCAGAGCATGCGCACTGAGCGAGACTACTACTATTCGAACGATTCGTTACTAACGCGTTTAACTCGTTTGACTTTACGAACGTACCCTTTCTTTATAAAAGTGTTACATCCATTGAAAACATATATATATACAGGGTGTAATAAATAAAATGAACCAGTCCCACAACTTGGGAATGACAAAAAGTAGGAGGATTGGATAATTATGGCCGAACAAGATGGACTAAGACTCACCAGCAAGATGGACAAGATGGACATAATGTCTTTTGGACAACTTTTGGACATTAATGTCCAAAAGTTGGTGAATTTGTGTGTCAGAGATTCCAAGGTTTTGGACTCCTTTTGGGGATTCTTGTCAAAATTCAATGGTATATAGGGTCAAAAATGATGCTATTGGAAACCCATGATGGATTTGATAAAAACAATCTTCATAGTACCCACAGGACAAAAAAAGATAAAAATTTTTATCTTTTTAAAAAGTTATTTATTTTGCATATAGTGTTTAGTTTTTGAATTTAAAAAAAACTGTGTATGTTAGTCTTAAAATCTTTAAAATATGAATAAGAAAGTAAAAAAATATACATGATAAAATAAAATAGAAGGTATATGCCATATATTTTTATTTTAGTTAGCATAAATATTAGTTTTTTACTAAATGCTCACTAAAGTAAAAGTCAATATGCATTGAAATATCAAAAATGTTTGATTTAAAAATATCATTAACTTAAATTTAAATTATCATTAATTTATTTTAAATCATATTTTAACATTAAAAAGCTTATTTTATTTATTTATTTTAGTTTACTTTATACATGATGATAAAATATAATTTTAATTTTTCAAAATACAAATAGTAAATATTATAATATGTTTTAATAACTTTTACTTAGTTTTGTATTAGAGCTAGATATCTAATAGCTACACAGAACAGTAGAAAGGTTTTCTTCAGAGTTTATCTAGTTATCTCTAGAACTCATTTGGCTCATAAACCTGGGTTGAGGATAGTTGGAACATGATGCTATTCACAATACTATCTTATTTTAAATCAACATATTCTTATACTTATATCTGCTGTTTTCAAGTGTCCTGTTAATATATATTATTATATTAATATATAAGAGAGGAACATTTGGAGTTAGTATACATTTACCTTTATATACATACATACACATAAATGCAAACTACATTTTTAATTTGACATTTTGGAAAATATGATTTTTTTTTTTGGAAGGATATTGGAATTTTTAATTTTTACAATAACTACAGGTATCCATCATATAACATGGTAGATATGTTCCAAAAAAGCTCTGTATTATGCAAATCCATGTTATATGAAACATAGGACTAATGCAAAACATTGCGTTAGGTTCCGGAAGTTAATGAAAGTATACTTTTCTTTTTGTTACTAAGAGAAATATGTTTGTTAAAGCAATTGATAATTTATTTCCAATCAACAATTAACTAACAATCACAATTAAAAGTACTGTTAAAATTAATTTTAGCTAAATGAGGGTGTTTTCTTTTTTCAACTTATCATCATCTTCTGAACTTTTATGTTGATCTCGATCAGAAATATCAGAAATGTAATTTTTTCACTTTTATCATAAAAATGTTTTATGGATGATAAAATAAAAATATGTTAGTAACAAAAATTTCTTCAGTCAAGTACAACGAAATTTTTTCCAAAATTTGTGTTCAAATACTGAATTGTTTGAGTTGGAAACAATTTGAGATATCATTGTATTTCATTCCTTTTTAAGAATGATTACTTACCTTCAGTTAAAAAAAGTTTAATTAAACACTTTTAGATAAGTGTTTAATTAAACTTTACAAAATATGAAGATTAATCTATAAAAACAAAACACAGTGACAGTCTTAAAGGCTAAAATCTGAAAGCAATAACGACAACACCTGGTTGATAGGAAAGCTAGAACAAGGAAGAAAAAATTCTACTATCAGTTTCATTAAACTTGACAAAAGGCACAAAACAAATTGAAAATTTCAATATTCTAAAATCTGTGGGCAAATTTGAGACAACACAATCTTATTTGAATAAAGAAAAATTGAATAATGAAGTTTACACTTAAAAATTGTGAAATTTTGTACAGAGGATTTCCAAAACAGTGTTAGAGTGAAACTGGAAGTAGTATTGTATGGTGGATATACCCAATTTTCAAACCATGTTGTATTAGGGATATCTGTATATAGTATTCGACAATTCTTTTTACTATTTATTGTTTTATTAATAGACCAAGATGAACGTTCACGTGCTGTAGAAGGTTTTCGCAAAGGAGAAAAAGATGTTCTTGTTGCTACAGATGTTGCATCAAAAGGATTGGATTTCTGTGATATCCAACATGTTATTAATTATGATATGCCTGAAGATATAGAAAATTATGGTAAGTATTCCAAAAGTTGTGATAATCTGTAATCATATAGTGACTAAGTTACTACAATATACTATTGTATTTTGACTGAACTAAGTAGTTGAAATTTAAAGCCAGTTTTTAGATTATAATTTAATTAAATTAGTAATGAATTTCAAGATAAAAGTAGATAATGCAGCCATCTGGAATAAATTAATAATTTAAATATTTGAAAGAATTTTGGATTTCATTTCTTAATATTCTATCTTATCTTATCTTAGTTTGACTTTACAGTATAATTGCAATTCATTGGCATTATCTTTGTTAAACTTCCTCAACATAATTAATTATCCTTTTTAAAAATTTAATAGTAGAATTTAAAACTAAATTTAGCTCCAATAAAAACTAATAACAGGTTTACTATTAAGCCTATTGAATAAGTTTAGTAACAAGCTATAAGCTATAAGATTTTTACAAATTACTAGCCATAATTTTAATTGCATAAAGTTACTTATAATCAGTAAAAAGCTGCAAATACTTGCTAGAAGCTACAAGTATTATAAATCTTGAAGCTGGTAAATAATAGTTTGTAACTTGTAATTTTTAATTAATCAATTCTCAGATCTGTGTATGTCATAAAGATATTAAAATTTATCAACTTAATAATAAACAGATAATACATCACATAAATACTAAAACCACAAAGAATCTAATTTTAAAATTGTTTCCTTTATCTAAAAGATATCTCTATCCATATATATATTGATATAATTTTTTCTTTATTTTTTTAAAAAAAGATACTTTGGTTGTAATATTACTTAATACAAACTATTGTATCATTAACATAATGTGGTTTAAATTCTGAATTGAGAATTCAGAATTTAAACCACATTAGACTAGAAATTCTGAAATGAGAATTTCTAATAGAAGAATTAAATGCAAAGGTAAATTAATTTTATTATAGTTTTTAGAAAACAGTTGTGATCAGTTGGGTGTTGCTTGTTTCAATAATGTGCCAAATTCTTATCTTCAAACAGAAGATTTACAAAAATAATTGTCCTCTACTCAGAAGGATATTGCAAAATTTAACAGTTGAAGTAATATTAATCAGAACAAAATGAAAATTTCAATATATTGATGAAATCAAATTCAACTGCATTTCTATTCTAGCCGACTCTAGCTTCTCCTTTGATCCCTTATGCTCTTCACATTTATTTTGAAAAATCTTGTACTGATTCATAATAATCAATTAAAAAATTAATACAAACAAAATGATTGTTAATTTTTCCATTATATGTACATATTATGAAGAAGTTTATTGCTAAGATTATTGGAGGGATCAAAACTGTCAGTGAAGGATTCAAAGGCTGAACCTAACAACACTAATAATTTGCTTTAAAATATATCAATTTTATTTTTATACTTGCAAAGAATGCCCAATGTTGCCTGGGAACTCTGAACAGGTTAAATTGTCCTTGTTATAATGATGAAGAAAAATGCTATGGTTTAAACATTGTTTTTGTGCATTTTTCTTTCATAATATGAAAATAATATAAAGCCTATGTCCATCTGGAAGGAATAAGCTTTAAGATAGAGAAACAATTTTAAAATTGGTTCAGTAGATTCTGAGATTACCTCTAGCAAACAAACAAACATTTCACTTTATATATTAATATAGATTTATTCTTATACATAATTAAAAAAANGCTCACTAAAGTAAAAGTCAATATGCATTGAAATATCAAAAATGTTTGATTTAAAAATATCATTAACTTAAATTTAAATTATCATTAATTTATTTTAAATTATATTTTAACATTAAAAAGCTTATTTTATTTATTTATTTTAGTTTACTTTATACATGATGATAAAATATAATTTTAATTTTTCAAAATACAAATAGTAAATATTATAATATGTTTTAATAACTTTTACTTAGTTTTGTATTAGAGCTAGATATCTAATAGCTACACAGAACAGTAGAAAGGTTTTCTTCAGAGTTTATCTAGTTATCTCTAGAACTCATTTGGCTCATAAACCTGGGTTGAGGATAGTTGGAACATGATGCTATTCACAATACTATCTTATTTTAAATCAACATATTCTTATACTTATATCTGCTGTTTTCAAGTGTCCTGTTAATATATATTATTATATTAATATATAAGAGAGGAACATTTGGAGTTAGTATACATTTACCTTTATATACATACATACACATAAATGCAAACTACATTTTTAATTTGACATTTTGGAAAATATGATTTTTTTTTTTGGAAGGATATTGGAATTTTTAATTTTTACAATAACTACAGGTATCCATCATATAACATGGTAGATATGTTCCAAAAAAGCTCTGTATTATGCAAATCCATGTTATATGAAACATAGGACTAATGCAAAACATTGCGTTAGGTTCCGGAAGTTAATGAAAGTATACTTTTCTTTTTGTTACTAAGAGAAATATGTTTGTTAAAGCAATTGATAATTTATTTCCAATCAACAATTAACTAACAATCACAATTAAAAGTACTGTTAAAATTAATTTTAGCTAAATGAGGGTGTTTTCTTTTTTCAACTTATCATCATCTTCTGAACTTTTATGTTGATCTCGATCAGAAATATCAGAAATGTAATTTTTTCACTTTTATCATAAAAATGTTTTATGGATGATAAAATAAAAATATGTTAGTAACAAAAATTTCTTCAGTCAAGTACAACGAAATTTTTTCCAAAATTTGTGTTCAAATACTGAATTGTTTGAGTTGTAAACAATTTGAGATATCATTGTATTTCATTCCTTTTAAGAATGATTACTTACCTTCAGTTAAAAAAAGTTTAATTAAACACTTTTAGATAAGTGTTTAATTAAACTTTACAAAATATGAAGATTAATGTATAAAAACAAAACACAGTGACAGTCTTAAAGGCTAAAATCTGAAAGCAATAACGACAACACCTGGTTGATAGGAAAGCTAGAACAAGGAAGAAAAAATTCTACTATCAGTTTCATTAAACCTGACAAAAGGCACAAAACAAATTGAAAATTTCAATATTCTAAAATCTGTGGGCAAATTTGAGACAACACAATCTTATTTGAATAAAGAAAAATTGAATAATGAAGTTTACACTTAAAAATTGTGAAATTTTGTACAGAGGATTTCCAAAACAGTGTTAGAGTGAAACTGGAAGTAGTATTGTATGGGGGATATACCCAATTTTCAAACCATGTTGTATTAGGGATATCTGTATATAGTATTCGACAATTCTTTTTACTATTTATTGTTTTATTAATAGACCAAGATGAACGTTCACGTGCTGTAGAAGGTTTTCGCAAAGGAGAAAAAGATGTTCTTGTTGCTACAGATGTTGCATCAAAAGGATTGGATTTCTGTGATATCCAACATGTTATTAATTATGATATGCCTGAAGATATAGAAAATTATGGTAAGTATTCCAAAAGTTGTGATAATCTGTAACCATATAGTGACTAAGTTACTACAATATACTATTGTATTTTGACTGAACTAAGTAGTTGAAATTTAAAGCCAGTTTTTAGATTATAATTTAATTAAATTAGTAATGAATTTCAAGATAAAAGTAGATAATGCAGCCATCTGGAATAAATTAATAATTTAAATATTTGAAAGAATTTTGGATTTCATTTCTTAATATTCTATCTTATCTTATCTTAGTTTGACTTTACAGTATAATTGCAATTCATTGGCATTATCTTTGTTAAACTTCCTCAACATAATTAATTATCCTTTTTAAAAATTTAATAGTAGAATTTAAAACTAAATTTAGCTCCAATAAAAACTAATAACAGGTTTACTATTAAGCCTATTGAATAAGTTTAGTAACAAGCTATAAGCTATAAGATTTTTACAAACTACTAGCCATAATTTTAATTGCATAAAGTTACTTATAATCAGTAAAAAGCTGCAAATACTTGCTAGAAGCTACAAGTATTATAAATCTTGAAGCTGGTAAATAATAGTTTGTAACTTGTAATTTTTAATTAATCAATTCTCAGATCTGTGTATGTCATAAAGATATTAAAATTTATCAACTTAATAATAAACAGATAATACATCACATAAATACTAAAACCACAAAGAATCTAATTTTAAAATTGTTTCCTTTATCTAAAAGATATCTCTATCCATATATATATTGATATAATTTTTTCTTTATTTTTTTAAAAAAAGATACTTTGGTTGTAATATTACTTAATACAAACTATTGTATCATTAACATAATGTGGTTTAAATTCTGAATTGAGAATTCAGAATTTAAACCACATTAGACTAGAAATTCTGAAATGAGAATTTCTAATAGAAGAATTAAATGCAAAGGTAAATTAATTTTATTATAGTTTTTAGAAAACAGTTGTGATCAGTTGGGTGTTGCTTGTTTCAATAATGTGCCAAATTCTTATCTTCAAACAGAAGATTTACAAAAATAATTGTCCTCTACTCAGAAGGATATTGCAAAATTTAACAGTTGAAGTAATATTAATCAGAACAAAATGAAAATTTCAATATATTGATGAAATCAAATTCAACTGCATTTCTACTCTAGCCGACTCTAGCTTCTCCTTTGATCCCTTATGCTCTTCACATTTATTTTGAAAAATCTTGTACTGATTCATAATAATCAATTAAAAAATTAACACAAACAAAATGATTGTTAATTTTTCCATTATATGTACATATTATGAAGAAGTTTATTGCTAAGATTATTGGAGGGATCAAAACTGTCAGTGAAGGATTCAAAGGCTGAACCTAACAACACTAATAATTTGCTTTAAAATATATCAATTTTATTTTTATACTTGCAAAGAATGCCCAATGTTGCCTGGGAACTCTGAACAGGTTAAATTGTCCTTGTTATAATGATGAAGAGAAATGCTATGGTTTAAACATTGTTTTTGTGCATTTTTCTTTCATAATATGAAAATAATATAAAGCCTATGTCCATCTGGAAGGAATAAGCTTTAAGATAGAGAAACAATTTTAAAATTGGTTCAGTAGATTCTGAGATTACCTCTAGCAAACAAACAAACATTTCACTTTATATATTAATATAGATTTATTCTTATACATAATTAAAAAAATATATATATATTTATTTATTTTTAATATATTTTTGAGATTATTAAAAGAAAATGCTACATACGAATGAATTAGAACTTCTTTATTGTTATTTTTTATCTTCTAGTTCATAGAATTGGAAGAACTGGGCGTTCAGGGAAAAAAGGAATTGCAACTACTTTTATCAATAAAGCATGTGGTAAGATTTTAAAGATTCTCAATGAATGTGTATTAAAATAATGATGTAATATTTAAATTTTATATTTTTATATACTTAGATGAATCTGTTTTGTTGGATCTCAAACATCTGCTAATAGAAGCTAAACAAAAAATTCCACCATTCTTAGCTACTCTTCAGTCTGAAAGTGAAAAATATCTTGAACTTGGAGGTAATGTTTGTTCATTATTTGCAATATTATATTAAAATTAACCAAATATTAATGTATTGAAAGTATAAAAGCATAAATATGCTTGACACTATGAATCATTATATGTATTGATTAGGAAGTATATATAATTCAAACATAAAAAAAATAATTAAATAACTAGGAAAGTAGTATTGTATGGTGGATATACCCAATTTTCAAACCATGTTGTATTAGGGATATCTGTATATAGTATTCGACAATTCTTTTTACTATTTATTGTTTTATTAATAGACCAAGATGAACGTTCACGTGCTGTAGAAGGTTTTCGCAAAGGAGAAAAAGATGTTCTTGTTGCTACAGATGTTGCATCAAAAGGATTGGATTTCTGTGATATCCAACATGTTATTAATTATGATATGCCTGAAGATATAGAAAATTATGGTAAGTATTCCAAAAGTTGTGATAATCTGTAATCATATAGTGACTAAGTTACTACAATATACTATTGTATTTTGACTGAACTAAGTAGTTGAAATTTAAAGCCAGTTTTTAGATTATAATTTAATTAAATTAGTAATGAATTTCAAGATAAAAGTAGATAATGCAGCCATCTGGAATAAATTAATAATTTAAATATTTGAAAGAATTTTGGATTTCATTTCTTAATATTCTATCTTATCTTATCTTAGTTTGACTTTACAGTATAATTGCAATTCATTGGCATTATCTTTGTTAAACTTCCTCAACATAATTAATTATCCTTTTTAAAAATTTAATAGTAGAATTTAAAACTAAATTTAGCTCCAATAAAAACTAATAACAGGTTTACTATTAAGCCTATTGAATAAGTTTAGTAACAAGCTATAAGCTATAAGATTTTTACAAATTACTAGCCATAATTTTAATTGCATAAAGTTACTTATAATCAGTAAAAAGCTGCAAATACTTGCTAGAAGCTACAAGTATTATAAATCTTGAAGCTGGTAAATAATAGTTTGTAACTTGTAATTTTTAATTAATCAATTCTCAGATCTGTGTATGTCATAAAGATATTAAAATTTATCAACTTAATAATAAACAGATAATACATCACATAAATACTAAAACCACAAAGAATCTAATTTTAAAATTGTTTCCTTTATCTAAAAGATATCTCTATCCATATATATATTGATATAATTTTTTCTTTATTTTTTTAAAAAAAGATACTTTGGTTGTAATATTACTTAATACAAACTATTGTATCATTAACATAATGTGGTTTAAATTCTGAATTGAGAATTCAGAATTTAAACCACATTAGACTAGAAATTCTGAAATGAGAATTTCTAATAGAAGAATTAAATGCAAAGGTAAATTAATTTTATTATAGTTTTTAGAAAACAGTTGTGATCAGTTGGGTGTTGCTTGTTTCAATAATGTGCCAAATTCTTATCTTCAAACAGAAGATTTACAAAAATAATTGTCCTCTACTCAGAAGGATATTGCAAAATTTAACAGTTGAAGTAATATTAATCAGAACAAAATGAAAATTTCAATATATTGATGAAATCAAATTCAACTGCATTTCTATTCTAGCCGACTCTAGCTTCTCCTTTGATCCCTTATGCTCTTCACATTTATTTTGAAAAATCTTGTANTTTAAGGCCTAATAGGGATTTATTAAGAAAATATTAAAATGATAAGTGAAAAATCAAGAATTATATTACTATAGTTTTCTTACACACAGGCCTTTTACTCATTTTTCTGTTTAAAATTAAGGACTTATTGAGAAATGGAAACAATATAATTAAACACCATAACAGGTACTGTACTGTTGTTTTATTGCTTTAATAATAATAATTGTTTAAAAAGAATGCACTGGTGTATTTACAATATAAACTGAAAGGCTATGTAATGCAAAAATACAATTTTACTGTAAGAAAATATTGTATTACTCAAAGGTACTAAAGTATCAAACAGAAACAACAAAATAATGATGTCTTAAATTGATTAGAATCTTATCTGTAAATTCAAATATAATTCCAAATAAGACAGTTTGACTTCAGCAAATGAAGACTAACTAATCATGGTAATATTAGCATAACCAGAAGTGATTTCATCAAAACTTGGGCTTGAATATCTTGTAAAGGACCACACTTAGGATTGTGGTTCTTTTGACTTATTTTACCCTCAAATTTAAGTTTACTTATAACACAAAAATCACACCTTCCTTATGCTTTTCCAGTAGTAACTATTTAATAAACAAACATTTGATAAGTTCATTTGATTTCAAAAACAATGCAATGTCTCTATTGACCTGTTTTGAGACAGACATATTATATGTTGAATTTTAATGGACAATAATTTCTTTAGTCCTTGTATCGGTTGTTTTTGAGTTGTAATTTGTTGAAGGAACACTTTCTAGCATTTCAAACAATAATTTACTAATTAAGAGAGATAAGTAATAGACAAATTCCATGAAGCAATGATGCCATGTACTTGTGTGTACAAGCATGTACATGGTATTGTAGCTAAATTATGTAATTACTACATTATGTTGTATATAAATTTGGAAATAATTTTCAGTATTGTATCCTGTTGTGCTCCCAACTACAAAAATTAAACGGAAAATGCTCTAGGAGGCATAGAAAAATTTTGGTGGGAAAAAATGATGTGACAAAGACTATATCTCCAGCTGAAACAAATAGTACAGTTACTAACTAACAGGATTTCAAACTATCTGAGTTTGAATTAATGAGATTTTCTGTAATTTGAACTCTTACACTTGTTATTCAGGTATATTTTGAGAAATTTTCTGCTTTAATTTTGTTTCCAAATGATCTGCTAAATTTAATGATATGAATAAATAATATAATATATGAAGGGTTGCATCATCCAATACCTGATGTTGCCACTCTTCGAAGAGTTACATCATCAGAAATTAGGTAGTAAAAACTACCATACTCAAGAAATTCTTCAAAGAGTTTTCAGTGCATTGAAGTTAGTAATATACTGAGAAAAAAAATAAAACAATTTCATTTTTTTGAGTGGGCTGTAAAATTAGTTCTTTTAATAATTAATATATTATATTTAATTAAATATAAATAATTATTAATGGCATTATTTATATTTTCTGTTAGATGAAAGAGGCTGTTCTTATTGTGGTGGCTTAGGACACAGGATAACAGACTGTCCAAAACTGGAAGCCATGCAGAATAAACAGGCTTCGAATATTGGCCGCAGGGATTATTTGGCAAGTAACAGTGCAGACTGGTAACAAGACATGCAAAGTTTCAGACAAGTTTATGTATGTAAACAAGTGTACATTTTATTAAATGAGAGTAATTATAAATTTGTTTAACTATTTTATTTGAGTTTCACAATTTATTCAGCCATGTGGACCACCATAATTCACACTTTCAAGTGGTGTTTTAAAAATTTTGAAACTATCTACTTTCTTATCTACTGTACATTTTGATCTGCTGAGAGAGTCTAATACAGTGGTTTCCAAAGTGGGTGCTGCTGCCCCTGTGAGCAATGAGTAAATCTAGGTTAGTGAAAAGAACCAAGTGAGTTGCAGGGAGCAATGGAGGCAGAGTATTAACCAAAGAGTTACCATGGGTGAGTGTTGGGTCACTGACAAATCTTTCCCTTTTCTCTATTAAAATGGGTAAGAAGAAACATTGCATTTAATGGATTCCAGATGTGCAGAAAAATGTACACTGCTGGCCAAGTAAAATGCAACACTTGCAATATCTAGAGTCCTACATGGTGTTGCATTTTACTTGTCCAGCCAGTACTTTAAGGACACAAAGTATGAGGTTCATAGAAAAGTTTTTCTTCAAGATTTTCTCACACAAGGAAAAATGGGGCGTTGGGTATAAGTTTATGGAGCCAAGTGCACAGTGGCTGAAAAAGTTTGAGAATCACCGGTCTAATATTTTAACTCTTACAACGATGGACAAGTTATCTGTTTCAATACACTAAAATTTAAATAACATTTTCAATAGATTATCATCCATAATAAATAAATTCATAAACAAATTATTTATTAAGAAAATATTAAAATGATAAGTGAAAAATCAAGAATTATATTACTATAGTTTTCTTACACACAGGCCTTTTACTCATTTTTCTGTTTAAAATTAAGGACTTATTGAGAAATGGAAACAATATAATTAAACACCATAACAGGTACTGTACTGTTGTTTTATTGCTTTAATAATAATAATTGTTTAAAAAGAATGCACTGGTGTATTTACAATATAAACTGAAAGGCTATGTAATGCAAAAATACAATTTTACTGTAAGAAAATATTGTATTACTCAAAGGTACTAAAGTATCAAACAGAAACAACAAAATAATGATGTCTTAAATTGATTATATTTGAATTTACAGATAAGATTCTAATTCCAAATAAGACAGTTTGACTTCAGCAAATGAAGACTAACTAATCATGGTAATATTAGCATAACCAGAAGTGATTTCATCAAAACTTGGGCTTGAATATCTTGTAAAGGACCACACTTAGGATTGTGGTTCTTTTGACTTATTTTACCCTCAAATTTAAGTTTACTTATAACACAAAAATCACACCTTCCTTATGCTTTTCCAGTAGTAACTATTTAATAAACAAACATTTGATAAGTTCATTTGATTTCAAAAACAATGCAATGTCTCTATTGACCTGTTTTGAGACAGACATGTTATATGTTGAATTTTAATGGACAATAATTTCTTTAGTCCTTGTATCGGTTGTTTTTGAGTTGTAATTTGTTGAAGGAACACTTTCTAGCATTTCAAACAATAATTTACTAATTAAGAGAGATAAGTAATAGACAAATTCCATGAAGCAATGATGCCATGTACTTGTGTGTACAAGCATGTACATGGTATTGTAGCTAAATTATGTAATTACTACATTATGTTGTATATAAATTTGGAAATAATTTTCAGTATTGTATCCTGTTGTGCTCCCAACTACAAAAATTAAACGGAAAATGCTCTAGGAGGCGCAGAAAAATTTTGGTGGGAAAAAATGATGTGACAAAGACCCACTATTTATGGTAGCGTTTGTTTGTTCTGCACACTATTGAAAGTTCTGCACACTTTCAATAAAGTGATTATCATCTATTATTGTGCACCAAGAATGAAATTTGAAAACTTAATGGTGTTTCTAGTATTTTTAACTGGATTTCAAACAAAAAGGTATGTAAATTTATTTTTAAAAGTATTTACTATTTGTTGTTATTGATAATGTTCTTTTAATATACATGGATGAATGCATGTAAGGCTACTATATCATCTGAGAGATCAATTCTAAACTTGAATATGTTTATCCATTGTCTTCCCATTGATTTATACACAAAAAAAAATTAAAGTTTATTTTTTGACTGTTGGCAAATATGATGGCAAATACGGTTTATTGGATCATAGCAATACAATCTTGCACGTGTTAATAATTTAAATATTTTTAATTTGAGTTAACCTCATAAGCTTGTATGGATCCACCAATGTTTGTCCACTAAGTATTTAAATCTGAGGTTTTGTTTAGTTGTAAGCTTCTTGCCTCTAAAACATTAATTTAATTTAATTAAAACTGAGATTAGTTTTTAATTTTATAAAAATTAGTTTTCTCAAAAATTGTTTTGAAAAATTCCGTACTTCATGGAATATTGTTTGCTTTTAAAATTGTTGCTACTGTCTTAGCAACACATTTACTGCTTTGTAATAAAGATGTTTGTGGGGAGACTATCCAATTTGTGAATAAGAAACTAAGGGTTTCGTTTTCTAGGTAAGATATAGCTTAGTTTTCTGGTAATTATTTATTTTGTTTTTGGATAGTTCTCTCACTTTTAAGTTTAGAATGATTAATCATAGTTACAATAAGTCATAAAAATAACAATGTATGATAGATTTCGCCGTATTATCAATACTGGCAACGTAAACTTCTTTTATTTATAAAATTTTATAAAAAAATATTGTCTTCATCATTTTTAGGTTTTATGATTGTAATACAATAAAACTTTTAATAGATCTGTATTCAAAAACGATGGGGGTACAAATTGTATATTTGCTTCACTACAAATGCAGCAATCGACTATTTGAAATGCAAAATGGCAGCAATTGATATAATTAAAGAACTTGTTACACTCCAAACTGAGAGAAGACAGATGCTAAATTGGTTTAGTGCTAGACATTTTGCTCATTACCCACACAATCTTCCGTTCTCACGCGTGTGCTGTTAAACGAGACGTATGAAGAATTGAAACATTTATTGATAACTTTATGCAATATTATTTGTGTACTTTGGATAATTAAAGTTTTTAATTGATATTTATTCAATTATTATTTGGTCCAGAAGTACATTTTTGATATTTAAAAAAAAAGTCAATTTGTAACATTATCCATTCTTTCTTCTTGAACATTTGACGAATAAGAACATATTGGAACCGCCATGTTTTAAACTGAGAGTTCCACAAGCCTGTGCACGTTTCTTTTTCGTCCTTGCATGTTTTGAGAAGTCTATCGTGAGATGATGCGCAGTGTGCTGGATTTTTAAAAGGGCAAGGTTTTAACAAGAGATGTTTTTTTTCATAACCTGGTTTATTAATTTTTACAATGTAGGTTACAAGTGCATATTTTATTTTTAATTCTTTTCAAATGGAGTGGTTTAGACTCCCGAAACTCCTCCCATGTGTGTCCCGTGTGGCCTTGACGGCAACCTTCCCTTCTCTTTTCTGTTCTCGCTACGTGTGAACCAGCCTTAAATCACTATCGAACATGTGACAGATGTCTAATCGCAAGAAATCACTATTCAGATAATACTAATCAAAATAAGTTACAATGATTTTTTAAACAAATCTGAAAAAATGAAAAAATAAGGACTACAAACCTTGTATATTGAAATTTATGGAAAAATGCAGTTAAACGGTTTAAAGTTGAGCTAGAAATCTATATTTTAACTTGTTGAGGTGTGGTTCCTTTGATGTTTTTGTTCCTATGGGTATGCCCTACAGTTCTGATAATGTCCCGACCATCTCATTTGGAGCTTAAATTGTACACAAAACTAATCAATGACTGCAAGTGAAGTTTATAATCTGTTAACTTTTGCCAAGACTAGTCTTTTTCCACATATTGAAAATTTTATCACTTTTTTGTTACACACAAAATATCTGTAATACTAATAATCCAAAATATGTAAAATATACTTTTCTCAAATTTTATTAGTGTGGAATTTACTAAATAATATAGGGTATCCAACAATTTCCAATTTCCCTGAGATTTCCAGGATGAAAACCTGCATCTTTCCCTGACTAACTGAAAACAACTCACTGAATAAATTAAAAATGGTTCACAATTTATTTGATGTTACCAAATGAAACTCAGTTGTAAGGCTGTTCAATTCCCTTTATTATAAAATATGATTACTTTTTTCATTTTGATTAATCAATTCGTTTATTGTTGCTTTAAAATGTGCAGAAGATTGTCATGTTGAACCTGTACACGATATACAATTTTATTAAAATATGGAAATTCAAGTTGACTCTGTCAACCTTATAATGTAAATCCAATACAGTTTTTCCAAATTATGCAATTGACAGTGAGTAAATATCACAAAATAATCATACTCTTTATTAATTATAGAATAAAATAACCTTTTTTGCAGTTCTTTCAAATGTGCATTAAAATCCCCAATCTCCTTATTAGCCTTACAATAATCAGTTTTTTTCTTTAGCTCTTTCACCATTTCTGTAGCTGCCGACTTCTCACTCCCACTTTCTCGTCTTATTTCTTCCCATTTACGAGCCATTGTATCTCTTGGCTGCATTTCCAGCCATCCATGGATCAACTTTTTGAAATATCTTATATTCCTAATCCACTAGCTGACATGACTATAGCATGTTCTTGTCATGAAGCTACAAATATCTCTTCTTTTTGGTTTTTCATTAAACATAGTTCGTTGGTGGAAAATCCAATTCCCTATGAGCATTATCATGTGATGTTATTAAAATCATCTTCACAAATGTTTCAAATTATTTTACTTCATCACATTGATGTGTCAGACTAAGCCAGAAAGAATCAAAACCATAATCACTAATTCCTGGAGATGACAAAATGTCTTTTTGTATTGCTTAGCAATTTTAATCAGCTGTAGAATAATTTATTCACTTATTAGCCATGAGTTTATAATCCATGCCATACCAAACTCGATATACATGCAAATATAGCCATGTATATCGAGCAGTTGTTGTGTTTTCTCTCTATTCCTTGTGTAAGCTTGATTTAGGCACGACAGTCCCTTGGTCAATTTGTATTTCGGTGGCAATGTTTCCATCAATTTGGTGGTTACAACTCATAAGCACAGTCTTTTCAAATCTCTAATATCAATCTATCAGTTACTCCATTCTAACTTTTCTAATCTTTAGTGGCATACCCAAAGTCTACCATATGTACTGTACTGTACAGAAATGCACATCAGTAATGTTTTAATTTACTATCTGAAATCTACAATACAGGGTCAGAACGACTTTTATTAAGGAAATAGTTCAAAAAGGTGGCAGATGTCAAGCAATTACTGACCAAGAACTGACCATTAATTTCATATTGCTATTAAGAAATGAAAGCATAGGAGAATGCATTCACCAAAAAATCTCACTTATCTATTAAATGAAGTTTATTTAACCAGATATTACATATAATTTAAATAAACATAGAACAGTATTTCGATCAATAATATGCTACTATGAAATCTATGTTTATTGTCTTTTAACTGTAAATTAAAAATTTATAGCATGTAAAACTTGTTAATTAAAATATATTTCACTAATTAAAATCAGCAAAATTTCAATAGATGGGTGACACTCAAATGAGGTAAAAATCAATTAATCACAATGAAATCTGTTCAAATTATAGTTAATAGGTTTAACATGCTGTAATACTGAAAATGATACTAATGTCACTTAACATGTTTTGCTAAGCTCCTTACTTATACTTTGAATCTAATGTGCACTTCATTTCTCGGCTTCTCAAAAAATTGAAAAAGGTGCACATTAAAGTAGAATAAATACTGTACTTTACAGTAATATCTCCAAAAGAGAACTCTTAATGGCATTTTGCAAAAATAGACTTTTAGTTAAAATAGAAACCAGTCCTGTAATCCATAAATTGTAAGCACTACTTACATGTAGATAGATTCTACATACTGTTTATTCAGTAAGAGCTTTGAAACTATGTTGTGATCATACATCATCTACAACCTCATTTCCAAAGAAAACAGATTGCTTGCTAGGGCTGCCAACTGCTTTTCAGTGAATCCCACAAGACAACACTTAAAAATAAGCCATTTACAGTTGAAAAAGAAAAAAAAATTTAAAGCCACATAATTCAAATTTTGTATTTTCTTAAAATATTGGATAAATATTAGTAATTATTATACTTAAATTTAATTAGCATGTATAATGTAATCTTAGATCATCATTCATATCATGTGACATAACAATGTGCACATTCAAATCAACAGAAATGTTGTTCTCTTTCTGTTAAACGATGCATTATATACAAGCTGCAATATTTTTTTTTTCCTTTTTCAGGTTTAATACAAAATTCCATTAATAACAACAAAAATCTGCTTTATTGGAATTCACTTTAATAATAGTTTTTCCTCAAGTGCTTTATGCAACCAAGCCCATTGTCAGGGGAGACACAAGAGAATTCTTTCCTGGGATTCATTTGTCTCTCTCTGACAATGGGGAACAATTGAAGAAAAACTGTTATTAAAATGAATTCCGATAAATCAGATTCTTATTGTTTCACATTATTTAGAATCTATTTTGTACTCTAAAAAATGGAGAGTAAATTTTCTACTTCAATACATTTATTTATTCTTGTAATGTTAGCAGTTATATTATTTCATCATCATTAACAATCTCTCTCAATGCAATTAGTTAAGTGCATTGAGAATAGGTTATCATTTTTATTGTGCTATCAGTTTACAATTATTTGCAGATGGTGTATTTTCTTAAAAACCTTCAATAAATTTCTCTGTCCAAATAGTTTTAGGCATGTTTAATACTTGAGAAATATTCCAAAACAGTTGTACAGGTAACCCCCGTATAACACGGGAGTTATGTTCCAAAAAATTGCCGTGTTATGCGAAACAAAGAACTAGTGTCGAAAGGGAGGTTAGGTTCCAAAAATTAAAAAACATGCTGTTAAATCCTTATTTAAATCAGATTTATTATTCATTTTTTTCATAGATAAAATACTTATTTATTATTTAAGTAAATATTTTACCAGAGGATTATTCATCCTAAATGATGATCTCAGCATGAGCATCATCAACTGGTAACAGTTTTTGGATACGTTCATTAATAGTGGTCGCTCTGCAACGGGAGTGTGCTGCTGTTTGTAGGCATTTAGGAACAACAGTGAAAGAAAGATGGCGGCACCCGCACCATCAATAGTATCGTGATGGAGGAATCTATAATTCTAAAATGAGCTTTTAGAGGCAAAAGGGTCCCAATTGTAAAATTTAACCATTAAATGGATTATTGTTGAAAGAGCATTCAAAGTAGCCACGAAAACAATTAGAATGCTCACGCAGAGTTACGCAGAAGTATAAAAGAACGCACCCTTTATTACATTATGTTCTATGAGGGTTTTACCCAATTTCCGAACCGTGTTAGAGTGAACCCGTGCTATAGAAGTGCCGTGTTCTACGGGGGTTACCTGTATTTTGTAAAGTAATATCAGATGATAGATCAAAATCTTTTGACATTCAAATCCAAACCTGACAGATGGATCTTAATCCTTTGACTACTGAAATAATCGTAAATGAATTTAATAGCATGACTTTGTGCTCATATTAGCTGATTTTGTAAATGATAGAATGGAAACATTAATTCTAAAGACAATAAAACAAAAACAAATTATTAGAGTAGAACTAAGATGATTTCATAGATTAAAAAAAGTGGAAAGTAATACGTGTTATGTTTATTTGTATTAACTTAGTGTTCTAATGGACCAAATATCCAGCTTCTAGAAAACTGGCTAGTTTCAAATTTGGTGAGCCATAGTTTGCCATGCAGCCACTTTGTTTTGGTTTTCATGGCAAGTGCTGTTTTATACAGGTGATTCTCAGTTGTGTTTATTTGTCAAATTTATTATAATTTTTATTTATAATCAAGGCCATTTCTGTGCAATCAGTTTAATTACTTATGTAATTTTTGTCCATTTGTAAACTTTTATAAAATAATGGATTTCTTTTTACTTCATAAGCCATAAAACATTATAAATTATTAGTACATAATCTGAAAATACAGGATAGTGCACAAAATAGTAGTCCTGGTCCTGTTCAAGTCTCTGGCACTAGTGTACTGTGTGGAATGAGCAAACTGTATCAATGTCACACCGTTGCACTAGATGTTCCTGAACATGACTAATGATTGGCATCTGTGTTTAGCTTAGTAATAATTTCTTTAGTGTGCCACACTGTATAATTAAAAATTCTCTATAATAGAAGACACATTCCAAATATACCAAACATGCAGTGTGCAAACTCTTGAAAATTTTTTTTTATAATCTGTTCTTTTTCACACACTTAAGGGATAAAAGTCTACAGTACAATTGATTTTTGTTTAGAAGCTCTTCTCCCCTCAATATATAAAATTTTTAAAATGTCAATTTTAAAATTGGATTTTTGTAATAGTACTATAATTTTATCATTGCTAGGATGACATTTTTAAGGTGGAGAAGAGCCTCAAAATAAAGGTTATGAGGCTCTTTGAACTTTATTTAACATGACTATTTTGTTTGAGATGTATGAAAAAAAGGACAATTGTAAAGATATCATGTACAAAAAAATTCTTTTTGTACTTGGCATATTTGGAGTGATTCTTATATTAAAAATTCTGTAAATAAAGCATTTGATTGTAAAAAAATTTTTTACGGAATATTCAGTACATAATTGCTTGAAAGTAAAATAAACTTTTATAAGGCTGCACTAATTAAAAGTTATAAAGTCTGATTTGATAATTAACAAAAATAACAAAACTGAAAATTTTGTTTTATATGGGAAAAATATTAAATCAACTATTATGGAAAATACACTTTAATATGACAATTTTTTATGATACAGTATTCAAACATGAAATGATTAATGGCAACATTGTATTTTGTTTGAATGGATTTACATACAAAATTTTCTTTTACTAAGAATTTCATCCTCAGTAAAATATAAAAGAATGAAAGATAAATGAGAATAAAAGACTAAACAGTTGTTAAGAAAACATACATCAAAAACTTAAAAGATAATCAGAAGCACAAGATTTTTGCATAAACCATTCATCTGTGTTATGCATTTCAATCATACAAATAAATTTTCCAATAATTTCATTCTTAAAAATATTTTGTTCACTTCTGAATTATTAACCAAACTATTGGTTAAAACATCATGGTTATTTAACATATAACCAAATTTAACTTTATTGATATTCCAACACTTCCTTTGGACTGACTTTGACTACATTTATAAACTTACCATCTGACAACAGTTCATAAATTTTTGTAAAGGAAATTTGATTAAACTTAGTAAGGATCTAAAGTAGTTTTTACAACAAAAAGAACAGTAATTAGATAGTTCACATATGATAAACAAATGAGATTTGTACAATAACATATTCAAATGTTTTGGAATTTTTTAATGCAAGTAAAAATAAATTATCTAAAACCACAGACATTACATAAGGAGCTAATGAAAAATTAATAATTTGATTCAACCATGTTGGGTGTCATCTTCAACAAAGTCTCGAGCTTCTTCTTTAGTTACGGCTTCAATGTGACTGACCTAATGGTAGATAAAAATCAATTAAACATTATATTTAATAAACTGATCTCATTATTATACATGCATAAGTATTAAGTTATGAATATGGAAATAAATTTGTAGGTTTTAAAGACTAAGATGATGATTCATATTCAGTATTAATTAATGCATTGTATTAAAATATCTTTAATGTATGAATTAAAAACAAAATTAGAAAAGATCTTTTCAAACTCTTATGCAATAGTATTAGAAAAGATATAAAATTTAATTTTACCTTATTGCGAAATTTTACACCATAAAATTTGTCAGCTTTTTCTAAAAGTTCTGGTCTAAATGTAGTTGTTATGAACTGAGCATCCTTGCATAGTTCATGAATCATATCTGAAATAAGTTTTTTGAAAATATCAGATAATGATTCTTATACTAAAGACTGAAAAAAATATGAAAAAAAAAACAGTTTAAGCAACTCATTGCTGGGATAATTTTTTTTTTTTTTTGACTTTTCCAGCAACATGATAATTAAAGATATTAAAAACTTTTTACAATAAAATTTTATAAAATGGCAAAAAGCTTAATTTTGAAGGTAGGGATGGGTTTTGTAAAAAAAAAACTAGCAAGTAAGCCCAGCATTGCCTGGGCAAAAAAATAAGAACAAACATTAAGATTAGCTAATTTCATTGAGATGGGTTGATGGTTATAAATGCTAACAATGATTAAAATCTTATCATCATTAAGTCCAACCCTACTCACAACATAACATGATTCTCCTTTATCTCCCCACCCCACTGACCTTTAACCACCAAAATTTAATAGCACCACTCCCCCTAATACACAAACCTCAATATAAAATTTCAGAAATTTTTGACAGGAGTTATTAAACTTCAAAGAGGGTGAACAAAATTGTACAGAAAAAACCTGAATTTTTTTTAACATTTCTCAATCTTTCAAGGTCCCGAGTTCAAAAATGTAAAAATCTTGGGATCTCCATTATATACAACATAGCCAGGAAAGTGATATAGAGTATATTTAATAATCAAAAATCAAAAATTTAAGTCTGTTTTCTATTTACATTAGGATAAAACTTACAGCATAGAAGTTAGAATATATGACATAAAAAACACGAACAACTTGATTTAGTGACTTCATGCATCAAACAAAAGGGTGGAAACTCAGAAGAAGTCTGTAAATGCTTCTCTATACAACATATTTTCACTCACTCCTTAATTAAAGCAGTCAGATTGCCAGACCATATTGTGTGTTGTATGCAGCATCAAGCAATGCAGAAATCCAGAATGAAAATTATCTATTCAAGTGAAGACAGCTATTTTCATCCCAAAATAAATAGAGAAGATACTTAAGTTGAAATTTCCTGGTGAGACATAATAAGATCATACAGGGTTGACTTATTTACAATGGTTTTGTGAGTCTGGTGGTGAACAAGATTGATCAGAAATGGTAGACCTTCCATATTATCAGAGCCTATGGTTACTGGCATAAAGCAATGATTTAAGTGATTATGAAGAAAGTCACTTTATTGTCTTTTTGCAGGTTGGATTATCCTATTATTCTGTAAGAAAGGCATTAAGAAATTGTGATTGTACTCTTGTGCAAAGCAAACATAGTGTATGAACTTGCAGGAGTTTTTCTTTGTCAATGGTTTCAATAGTTTACAAAACATTTGGTTGATTGCAAAGTTATGCTTGTGATTAGATATATAGTTATGCTTGTGAATACAGTGGGTGATCGGTTAACGAACATAATCCATTCCAAGACTTTGTTTGCTATCCGAATTGTTCGTTAACCGATTATCGATTTACCATAGGTTTCTATGGGAATTTGATTAATTCGTTCTGGAGACCCCCTAAAAATAAAAAATATATACTTTCTTACTACGTTTATTCATATGTAATAATAAAAATACATATATACACGGTCTTGCATTTTTATTAGTCATGTTTTTTTCCGTTTGTGGGGGTTAAAAAATCTGTCCAATGTCGATTGCTTTTCTGTCTTCATGATTTTTCAAAAGTAATTAATAGCATTGTAATTGTAGACATCCCTAGGCCTATTAACCTCAACCTGATTTGGATGCCGTTGTCTGTCTGGTTAAGACCATTGTTCTGACATCCTTCCACTTCTTCAAAAGATCTTTAATAGCAAATATCGGCATAAATCCGCATTTTCAGAACAAAACGTAAATGAATTGTTTCTGTTAGAAATATAAAAGGCTGGAATTACAAGGGAGAGTTTCAAAGTTCGGGGGGGAATACTATCCGATCAGTTTATACTGGGTAGAATGTCGATGTCGACGTCTCCCGCGCTCCGAAAAGTTTTCGAATACCCGAAGATAAGGGTAGACCAATCGGTAATCATTATTTTACCTCGCTTCTTGTGTTTGTTCAGTGAAGTGTTCGTTATCCGAACATGTGTTCGTTGTCAGATCATAAAAATCTTTCGTGAAAGTGTTCGTTATCCGATTTGTTCGTTAACCGATCACCCACTGTATATATATATATTTTCCTCACTCTTCTATGTCAAAAAGTAACCACGTTTGTACCTAACTTTTGGTAATAAATTCCATTTTGTTTCAGTTATGTTAAACCTCCACTGCTTTCTAACACTTCCCAACTAATGCTTAATTTACATAATTTTATATTCAAATCTTACTTATTAATGGAAGTGCATTCCACTAATTCCAATACTGTAGTTGTATAGTCATATTTATAAAAATAGAAAATTATTTAGGATTTTACTCTTAAACAGATATTGGTAGAGATAAGCAAAACCTTATTTCTTGTAAGCATGTACAGAAGTCAGCAATGTATAGGGGTTCTTCCTTTTAGTTCTTTTTCTTAATCAGATTGATCAGTAAAAGTTCTAAAATATCAAATAATTAATTTTATCGTTGGAATTACTGAATTGAAACTGTAACATTTATTATGCTCTATACTAATTGTCATTGCTCTAATAATATACTGTACTTTGTTTTGTAGTCAGAAAGTTCAGTACTAGTATTTATAGTTAAAATTAATAAGATATTTTTAATGATTTGTTTAACATTTTGGACCTTGCAAGCTATGGCTAACATTCTAAATGTATATAATTATTTAGTAAGTAGTGATGTAAGCATTTGATAAACTCAATACCCAATTTCTAAACAGTCTTTTGAAATGATGGTATTAAATACAGAGGAAGAAATTAATTGGAAATTATCAGTGTTCAATAGAAGTGTCAAATAATGATAACAATAATTAATTAGTTTGTATATGTCTTTGGTGATTTCAGGAAAAACTGTTAAATGCCACATTTATTCATCTGATCAACGATTTTTTCCATTTTCTAATGACACCCTTGGTGACATTAGACAAGAGAAAGCTATATGGCAAGTTTGTATTTAAATGTTACAATGAGATTATCAGCATCCATAATTTACCTATATAAAAACATAGATTTATAAAATTGTTCAAACTATCCGACTATTCAAGAAGAAAATATTAATATTAATTTTGAATGAATAAGGCTGCTCTTAGAATATTACCAGTAATCCTTTTTAGTTTTTGAAAACTATCTAATTCTTATACAAAAAACTTGTTTAAAATAAATCTCTGAAAATTCTGTCACTATCATTGGCATTAATATGTGAATAGATACATTTATTAGATTGTTAGAGAAAATATAGACCCATGGTTCTCAATCTGTGGTCTGCGGAACATGGGTGCTCTGTGAAGCCACTTCAAATTTTCTGCAAAAAAATCAAATATACAATTAAAAATTGTTGCAAAAGAAAAATCAATACAATGTAAAATAATTTTTGTATGGAAATGTAATCAGCAAATTTCAATGATGTCATATACTAGACTGAGTGTGCTCTTGATTCAAAAAGGTTTTCCACCTGTTTTAAAGATATATTGTACCACGGAAAAAACGTCAAGTTTAGTGTTCCCTGACTTCAAAAACAGATATAGAATATGTATTTAACTATTGTCTATAAGAACTAACACTGTATTTTATTTTTAAAAGGATAAGTTCTTATCCTTTTTCATAAAATTATTAATATATAAAAACATGTTAAGATTTATTGTTTAATGCTAATTAGAAATACATGCTTGTTTATGTTTTTAGTTACCTGATACAGCTTTCCTATGTTGAGAATCAAGTGCTTGATCAATTTCATCAAATAAATAAAATGGAGCTGGGTCACATTTCTGAATGGCAAATATCAATGCTAAAGCAACAAGAGATTTCTGCCCTCCCGAAAGTTGTTGCATCTCTTTCATTTCACCTGCTTTCCCAGTAAATGAAACCTTTACGATATAATTACAAAATGATTACTTATGATAAAAATTAAAAAAAGAAAAAAGGTAGAATCAAAAATTACCCTTATTCCCACGCCAGTAAACTGTTCTACAGATGGAATTACTGAATGGTGTTCCTAAATTTAAAAAATCAGTTGTCATTTATTTATTTAAAACTATTTTATTATTAAAACTAATTGAAAATATCATTACTTTACTTAACATATCAATATTTTTTAATTGTAACATTAAATTCTATTTTCCATTTAATTTTAAAATAGAATTTATTGATAAATTATTTTAATATGAAATTAGTATGAATGAAATTCTTAAAATATAGCTGTTCAATTGTTACAAACTACTGTCATTAACCAAAACAATTCTATCATTTTTATATTATATTGAATTTAGAAACCATAAAGATATAATAATGAAATTTTGAGAAAAAGACCAAATTGACTAAGTCAACAAAACAAAAATTATTTAATAGTAAATATAAAAATTAGAAATGAAGAGAGGGCGAAAAAATCCATTAGTGCTATTTGTTGATTTGCAAGCCTTAAGAAGTATAGAACAATAAAGTATAGAAATTGTTGTATGTGATAATTTTCAATTTTATCTACATTGGCATAGTTTCCTGTATATTAAAGTACCATAAACTCATAGAGAAAATACTAAATTGCAAATTATGTGACATTTAAATTTTTTCATTATCACATATTCCACACTAGAAGCTGCTATTGTCACTTATACAGTTTAGAAGATATTAAAAGTTATATCAAACAATTTATTCCTAAAAAGTAGGTTTCTGAGTTTAAAAAATTAAACAATAGTCATTTTCTGAAACTTCCAAGTTCGTCAAAATTTACTATATAATCATACATTTTGATTCTACTGGAAATGATATTAAAATAATAAGACTAATACATAATTATTAATGATTCTAATTTTGATAGATTGTTTGGAAATTTTTTAATCTATAATTGTTATTCTATTATTACAAGATTGGTCATTGGCAAATAAAATATTGTTGTATATTAGTGATTTTAATGCTCATTCATAAAATATGTTAGATACAAGATTTTTTTCATTTAGGGGAATCATTGAATCACTTGATAAAGTACAAGATCATTTATATTTTACAATATATTTAGGTATTTGTTTATCCAGTTGTGACTATTATAACCATATTTAACTTCTACCATTCAGGTAATATTGTGTTAGTTAAAAATATACATAAAAGTTATGTTATAACTTAAATTCTGTAATGTTTTTATAACCAGATTGATGAGGGGCATACTGTCTGAAATGAATATCTGCCAGAATTAATGAAGCCTATATCTATCTTCATTGTGTGATTTGTTCTCTCAAGCAATTTTATGCTTGCTTCTAACAATTAAAATGAGAACAAGAGGCAATCAAGCATAAATGTATAAAAGCTTCCTTCATTTACGATATAAGGATATTATGACTATAAAAAAAAGGGATTTATTTCTAATAAAGAAACATTACAGTTAAAATTAAATATATGATTACACAAATCTTTATATACTGATAATTTTTGTACCTTTCAACATGATACAGAGAAATTTGTTTCAAGGTACAAAAATTATGTTGAATGTTTAATGTTGAATGTTAATACTCATGTTGTCATGTTGAATGTGAAATGTTGTTAATACTTTATAAAAAATATATACCAAATGTGAATTTGTTATTAAAATGAATAAAATCTTCATTTATTATTCACTAATCTGTCAAAAATATTGGTGATCAACTAAGTTGTGTAACTAAATTATTTACTTTGTATTATCTCCTTAGATATAATAAATAATTCTAGCATTTCCTATCATTAAAAGAATTATATTGAACTATTTAAAAATAAAAAAATAGCATATATTAAAATTACAAATCTTCTAAGTTTTAAAAGTGTAAAATAATAACTTACTTGTGAACCACTTTCATCGTTTTCAGTTTTCATAACTAAGGTAGCATGTCCTTGAGGAACTAATTTTTTAAAAACTTCACTAAAATATTTTGAAACTTGTTTGAATGTAAGTTGAATAGCTTCATACTTTCTTTGCTCCAGAACATTCATTAATTCAAGTATAGACTATTAGATGATAATAATAATATTGTAGTTTAATTAAATATTATTATTATAAATATTAAATTCTCTCTTAATTAATTAATCTTCAAATTATACCTCATGACCACGATCAAGTTCCTCTTTCCTTTTGACTAGTTTTTCTTTTTGTTCAGAAAAGTTTATAAACTGATCTAAAGCTTTCTTATTCACATGACTATATTTTTTTAATTCTTGATTACACTGTTCTAACTTTTTGAATAACTGTAAAAAAAATATCATAAAAATATTTAAAACAGACATCATAATACTATTCTTTATATATTTATTTTGTTTTGTAATCAAATTTCATTCATAGTGGATTCTAACTTCAATTCTGATATACTGAATTTTTATTTTAAAATGTAAAGTATTTAAAAAATTGCAACAACTGAATAATAATACTAACTTGCTTAAAACTAAGATTTTGATATTTTTCAAATGCATCAGAAGGTAATGATCCTAATTCTCTGATCTTTCTCATACATTCTTCTTTCTATAAGTAATATGTAAGAAAAATAAAATTTTAATAAATTTTATTAAACAGTATACTGCAAATATCCCAATAATATCATTTATAAATATATCAACTCAAAATAAACTATACTGATTGAATAAATCATGCTTTATATAAGAATTAAGTTATTAGATATTATTAAATTATTTAAAATAACTACTTTTGTGAAATCCGCGATTTTTACGTCGATGTCGGAAAAATCTTTGTAAACAACTCCGAGGAAAAACTCACTCTTGGTGAGAAGTATATCGGAGGTCACCGATTGTTTTCACATTAAGGTGGGAAAGTTGACACTTAGTTGATCAGAATGTACCGTAAGTAACAACAGAAGTCGATCACGTGACTCATTTCCCACGAATAACGTATAAAAGCTTGAGTCTCCGGAAGCTCCGGGCAATCCCTCAGAAGATACTTGGTAGATGTGCCATATTTGTCTCCATACTCTGGACCGAAAGGACATATGACCAATCACAGCCATTTGAACTTACATCGCCATTAACGAACCTATTCAACGAACGCATATTAGACATATCCGCATAGAGATATTTGTACTTTTAGAGCTTTGTGAACGCTCTCTCAGACTAGCAGGTAAAGCTATTAGAGTGTCCCTTTTGTATAGTGAACTTATTTAATCGCATTTAACCTATGTATCCTAGCTTAGTTATATAAATAAATGCTTGTTTAGTTTTTAAACCTGTCTCCTGTCTCTGAAGGACACCTGCCAATTTACCGACACACTCCCCACTCAAATTTTTGCCGTCCTAGCCATCCGACAAGCCGAGAACGGGTTTTACCAACCTGTTGCAGAGCAAGTGGTCATTTGGGATGAGCCTAGTGGCCCACTGCTAATCTCACACTTTTATTATTTTACAATAAAAATGTTTTGATACATTCAACAATTGGTTCTTTGTAGATTCCATACACATAATACAGTGGTACCTCAAGATACAAAATTAATCCGTTCCAAAACTGAGATCGTATCATGAAAATGTCATAAGGTGAATAATTTTTTCCCATACGATTACATGTAAAACCAAATAATTTGTTCCAAAACAAAAAACACACTCAAATTAAAGCTAAGTAGTACATTAAAAAAAATAACTATAGTAAGGAAAACACTGAAAAATGCATTTTGTAGTTATAAATGTATAAATAGCCATAATAGAATAATAATTGATTAAAAAAAATGTAGTTTTATTTGCACTTTACCTTTGAGGATAGACAACGGTGGAGGTGTAAACTGGTGGCAGAAGAGAGGGAGAAGGGAAATGATACTAAAACTTAACTTACATAACAAAATGTAACAATAACTTAAAAATAACTTAGAAAAGATTAAAAAAAAAATTATTGTTGTTTTATATACAGTAGAGCGTCGATTTTCCGAAAGTCAATCATCTGAAAGAATTTCAGTCGGCAAATTTAAATTTTCGCCAGTGCTGTGGCGCTTCAATCTTTGGATATGTCTTGGGTTACTCAAATATTTTACGTTTTTGATACTAAATTAACATCTGAAGTATAATTTTTTATTATTTTTATATTTTTAAATATATTTATTTTGTTTGTACAAAATAAAAAAATAATTTTTAACGATACAATAGTCTTTGTTAGGCTTAACATCGACGAAAATTCAACGCAAAGCGACACGCAACGGATAAAAATTTCGATATCGGATACGTTAAACTATTTTTTCGTACGTAAATCAGTTATCCGAAATATCAGTTATCCGGACAACCCCAGTCCCCAATTGATTCGGAAAATC